CATTGGAGATTCCAGTCCAGATGGAACTTAAGCACAGTAGACGATATTTCATCCCTGACCAGAGATCTGGAAACTTTGTCTGGTTTGAGAGTGTCTGGCCCCTGAGGGGCACCAGCTTATAGATTCTGGTCTCTCGGCTGACGTTGCTAATACAATTCAAAACTCTAGAGCTCATTCTTTGAGGAAATCCGTATGCCCTGAAATGCCAATTCTTTGTATCTTAGTGTCAGCAATATAATATGAACCAAGTTAAAAGCACAGTCGGTTCCTTACAGAAGTTCCTTCAAGAACGTCTCACAAAGGGGCTGGCTCCAACTACTTTAAAGGTGTATGTGGCCACTATCTCTGCTAATTACTCACTTTGTGATGGAGCTTTGGTGGGAAGACATCCTCCTGACCTCCTCTCTTACTTGCAAAGTAGCTTTATTGATAGCCTTGACGTCACTATAAAAGAGTAGCAGAACTTTTGTTCCTTCTGCGGCTGGTCAGCCAGTTATTTTGCTGGCTTTTTTTCCTCTGCCTCATGAGACGCTGGAGCAGGAAAGCTTGCATCTGTTATGTCTGGTTCGTGGCTTGAGGATCTCTGTCCACCGCTCAGGCAAGTGATGCTTTGATGGTCGCAATAGAGGTAATGCGGTCACCAAGCAACGTATTTCGCGTTGGATTATGGATACTTTCTCCTATGAGGCGTGCGGAATGGCCTCTAGGGGTCAGGGCTCACTCCACTAGGAGTATGGCATCCTCCAAACGTCTTGCTTAGGGTGCGTCATTGCATGATGTATGTGCTGCGACAGGTTGGTCCTCTCTGGACACATTCATTTGGTTTTACTGTCTAGATGCGGATTCAGCCCCAGGATCTCGTATACTTTAGGGTTGGTCCAAGTTTGATTTGGGCTCAACTGTGTTTTGTGCTTGTACACAGCTTTTTGGGCAGACTCTTTCCCAGGATGTGCCGGCATTGGTATGGAAGTTCCCATAGTGTCAATGCAATAAAGCAGTGTGGAACCTGAGACCTTTTCTTGTTAACATTTTTCTCTATCTTTCAAAAAAATAAAGAAATAAAAACCTTTTCACTCACCAGCTATTTTAGCTACTAAATCTTTAAGTTCCTAGCCATTTAGGGGCCGGTTACATATACTGCTAAAACAAATCTTACAAGTTAGTCATAGGCTTGGGCGGTAATACGGTAATATCGTATACCGCGGGATCTAAAAATAGCAACGGTATCAGTTTAAATATCGTCAATATCGTCATACCGTCATAAAAAAAATCCAATGCACTTATATAGGAGACAAGGATTAAATATTAAATATAATTTATTTAATGGCTAAAAATGCTTATGTGTGGTTGTCATCACGTGACAGAGTGGGGGAGAGAGGGGGAAAGATGGCAAGTTGCGCACCGAGTGACCTGGTCTCGAAGAAGAACACGACTTCTGCAGTTTGGCAGGGATGGGCATTTCAAGCAAAAATAATATTTGAAGATCGCCTGGTATTATTTGATTATTATTCGAAAATCGCACCCCTCCACCATATGCACGCACACATGCATGTAGGCTACACAGCGGAGCGGTGTGACACTTAAATAGGCTGTAAGTAAAAAAAAAAAAAAAAAAACTTATTTATTTTCACATTTATGTTTAATAGTATAATGTTGTTATTTTTTTTTTTTTCATCTGTTGATTATATGAAAAGGAAACCGCATGAGATGAATAAGATAGGATCATAAGATGCCCAATATCGGAAAACATTTGGAATGGGTCAGACATGATTTTTGACCACTTATTACGTTTGTTTTGTAGAAAGCCTTTCTTTAAAGTGAATTTCGTTTTGTATAAATTGTATCTTCATTTTAATCAATGTTTCATCAACGAATTGCCTGGATTAATAAATAAGAAGCATATAAATATAAGCCAGCGCGTGAACTGGAGCGCGTCTCCTAAAAAAAACGAAACTCAGCGTATAAGATAGATGCCTTAAATATCTGAGAAGTGTATATATATAGTAAGCTTGAAATGTCTACTTTTAAACAAAACAATTAAAAACTAAAAGAAATGGGCTGCTCTCTGTAGGCTAATTTATATGAAGTTTGCATTTCTCTCTATGCGCGTTCACTACTGCGAAGATGCGAGTCTGCATCGTAAACTTTATCTGTGCAGCCACTGACATAGAAAGTTTTTAATCAATAAACAATTCAAATGTTTCATGCATAATTACTTTTGCCGGTTCTTTGTGGCAAGCTTTATGCGTGCTTTGAGATGCAGAATAGGCAATATATTACGAAAACGCTCATTATGGTTTAGCATTCTCTCCTCTATATAAGTAATTTAATCAATATAAATATGTGATTAGACTAATGGCTTAAATCAACTACTACTAGTCAACTAGAAAAAAAAAAAACTTTAGTCGTGCACGGGCAGCCCTACTTCACATGTTTTCTAACCCGCATGTCACTGCGGGCATTCTGAGCGCGCGACACTGAGTGGACTGAGCACGCGGCGCGTGGTCTTCAGAAATGCGCTCTCTGCTCTGGAGGAAATATTACCACTCCGCTCACATGCTCTGGTGTGAGACAATGTGCATCTTCTCCTGTTGTCTGAGAGTTGATTGACAGCTTTTAGATGCATTATTGGCATCGCCACCCTCTGGTTGAACGTGTCACCACCGCATCAGAACGGAAAACATGGGGATTTTTTATAGACAATAATCCCACAACCTATTCCATTTTATATAATAAAATCAAATAATTGAATATTTGAAAATTGTGACGCATCCCTGCACAAACCAACAGTTTCGTGATGCCGTCTGAGCCTTATGTCATAGTTTTTAATTAGTCATGCGGTAATACCGTATACCGCGGTAAAATAGGGAGGAGGTTTGACGGTATCAAAATTTGGATACCGCCCAAGCCTAGTTAGTCATCAATTTTTTTTCTTTAAGACTGTTCGTTACATAAAAACGTAGATTGGTCTAATTTGAAACAAAAAAGTAAGACTACTACTTAACAGGGCTCCAGACTAACTTTTCCACTGGTTGCACTGGTGCTACCAACTTTCTCAGTTGGTCGCACCAGCATATGATTTGGTCGCACCTTTTTTTTTCTTTTTTTTTGCTACATGCCATGGGATTAATCAATGCATGCTGATGAAGGTTTTAATGGACCAAGGCTAGCAAAGGCTTTCTGGGTTGCAGCAGAAATACCTGTAACATATTAATTATCATTGCCAAATTTCAGGATTTTCATGGATTTTGGACAGTAATTTTAATCTGTAATTTTAAGCATTTTACATTTGAATTATATACAATCTATCTATTTACATTTGAATCATATTCTATCTATCTATCTGTCTATTATCATCTTTCTATCTTTTAAAAATCATTAAACATTAAAATGTATGCATTACATTTTAAAAGATTAGAGTATTATAATAAACTGATACAGAATTTTCGTTATCAAAGTTTATAGTTGTAACTAAAAGCAGAAATCTCACACTCCTTACCTTCTGCATTTTATAATAATTTCCTTTTCCTCTGTCGAGCGATCATGAGAGTAATCGCTCGACTGAGGAAAATATAACCGCTGAAAAGACGTAGGAGGAAGTCTCACTGTGTTTCGTGAGACCATTTTTATCATTTTTATATGCCTTAATTTGTGAATTCGTAATTGGCGCGTTTCACCATCAGTGTGCAATGCGCGTGACGTCTACGTTCGTCAATAAATAAACTGCACGTGTCTTGCGGAAGAACACTGTAGCCGGAACTTCTCTCCGTTAATGTCTATGGCGAGTCACGCAGGCACTGGGCTACTCCGCAGCCGAGTCGACCCCGGGATAAAATAGTCCGAATATAAACACTTATTATAGGCGTACCGTAGTGATTCAGAATAAGTCAAAAACACGGTTTGGAAAATGGATTCATGATGTAGCCTACTCGTTCATTTTGAACATAAGTTACGGACTGCAGCAGCTGATACAACGGCGTTCTGTTGCTCAAGCGTCCACTCGCACAAATGCGACCACATAACATTTTAACTCGCACATTCTCAAAAAATGGTCGCATATGCGACCAATTTGGTCGCAGTCTGGAACCCTGCTTAAGATTACTTTACCTGCTAGTTGGTTGTACTAGTTCTTAAGACACAGTCTTAGCATAATGGCTATGTTTATGCAACTGACCTTAACTTCTACTAGCCTAAACAAAAATATCAGAAACAAACCACATTTTCAGAGTCACAGCTTTATTCTGAATCATTGTATTATTACATTGTTGAGCATAGCAATAAAGACGCTAGGGCGCTTTTTTGCCCAAATGTCTTGGACATGCAACATTTATGAGAACGGGTTGGAAAAAAAGGCCTCTTAATTGTCTCCTAGGGCTCCATCTCACAGTCAGGCTTATCACACACCAGACGCGTCATTCTGTCCTCACGTTCTCAAGTTCAATGCGGCAGTCCAAAACAGTGAATCTAAGCACCATACAGGCAAAAGTTCACGTCAAGTCAAGAATGAACAAAGTGGTGTCAATGAGTTTAAAGTAAGGCATTTGAAAATACAGCGCAAATGGAAAGAGAAAGGATGATCTATATTAATTCTCTATACTGTATGAAGCATATTTATTCAAGCCACAAAAACAAACCTGTTACTGTTGCCTTTGGCTTTTGGCTTGCTTAATTGGGGACACTTAATATTTACCAATATTATTGATCTGCCTGCATTGACACAATTATATGAGAACTGAACTGAGCTGGACGATGACAACACTGTTTTCTCCAGAGCGTCTGTGTAGATAAATTAACTTTTTTACAACAGAAATGAACCATCACTGAACTTACTTAAGCTGGCCTATGACACTATTTTCTTCTAGATCTTCTAGATCTGCTGTACAGCCGAAACCCCTTGTTGTTAAATTCAGCTTGAATTGGCTTTAAAAATATATATATTTTATAAATACTTGGCTTAGATCATGAAAAAAACATCTTTCTTCCTCTTTCTCTCATCACAGCTACCTCATCCCTAAACTCTCAGCTCCAGCATCTCCAACAGCTCCAACAGCTACAGCATCACCAGCAACAGCATCATCATCATCAACAGCAGCAGCAACAACAACAACAGCGAGAACGAGAACGAGAACAGCGTGAAAGAGAACAACAACAACGAGAACGGGAGCAGCACCAACATCTCTGTGGCCCAACGCATCTCCAGCCACCCAGCCATCATCAGCTCACTCCTCCGATCCAATCACAAGCGTCTGGACCTTCTCCAGGCTCCGCCTCCACCTGTACCACCTCTAATCATAGCTCAGCCCAGCCTCCCCAGTCTCCGCCCCCTCACAGGCAAAACCAATCACCAGCTCGCAGCTTGCCATCACCTGTTACGCCTCCTCTACCACTACAGGTAAGATTGGAAAAGAAAATTATTTTATTTATTTATTTTATTATTTCATTGTATTTTGTTTTATTTTATATAGGGCTGTCAGTTAAACGCGTTATTAACGGCGTTAACCCAAACCCATTTTAACGGCGTTAATTTTTTTATCGCGAGATTAACGGTCTTTTTGGCCTAGCAAACTTTGTAGTTTTTTTCACATGCTTTTGCAACAGGACGCGCCATGCGCGAGGACGTTTTGTTGCTTCGTCGACCAAAGCGCAAGCGGATCTAGCTAGACCGGAAACAAAACAACAGGCACGCCGCACACACTTGTTTGGGCTTGCGAGCCGGCCAAATAGTTGGTTAACGTAACGTTTTGAGTGGATGACGAGCGAGACGCCGAAATGGATGCCAATAACATTCTGAATGGAAAGTTTACTTTTAAAAAGTTGCCAAATGGTTCCATTGACAAGACCAAAGTGATCTGTCTGTTTTGTCGTTGTGAACTGAGCTATCATCATCGCAGCACGTCCAGTCTGAAATACCACTTGATGATGGCCAAGCACACACACACAGCTGATGCGAATTCTCCGCCCCCTTGTCAATATCAGGACCTCGTCAGTATTTCTTTCACCCTTTTATTGATGGACAGTGTTACATTGAGAGATTATTTGCTCCAAGTGAAAATGTTAGTGTGAAATTCAACACAGTATTGTCAATGTTGTTTTTAATAAAAAACATTTGCACAAAGCAAGCCGATCCACTTTTCCATGTTGATAAGAGCATTAAAATGAGAAAAAATAATGGGACAAAAAGAAATCAAGAGACATTTAGAATAGATAAAAATGTGTGATTAATTGCGATTAATCGCAAGTTAACTATGACATTAATGCGATTAATCGCGATTAAATATTTTAATCGTTTGACAGCACTAATTTTATACCATTAAAGTAATGAGTCGAATTCACTGAACACTTCTCCTTTAAAATAATAACTGCATTTTCTGCATTCTTATTATTTTGCATTCTGCATTCCTTCTTTTTCAATGTATATTATTTTATACAATTAAAGTAATGGGACGAATTTGCGTAACACTTCCCATTTAAAACAATAACTACACTGTTCTCCATTCATATTATTTTGTATTTTGCATTCATACATTTATTTTATTATTTTATTTTATTTTATTTTATTATTTTACTTTATTTTATTTTATTTTATTTTATTTATTATATTTTATAACATTAAAGGGGTCATGAACTGCATTGTTTTATTGTTCCATACTATTTCCTGGTGTGCACTTATAATGTTAGTATGATTTTGACATACATTTTTTTTTCATAATTTCGAAATAAAAGGCATTTTTCCTAGCCTGATTTTAGCCCTCTGATTTGAATGCTCTGTTTTAAGGGGCGTGTCTGCTGTGAGACTTCAGTGTAAACGCCCACTGCTGTGATTGGCTAACATCTTTGCATATGAAATAGCTAGAATTACATTTGAACCCCTTTTAACTTTTAACCCCTTTTTTACTATTACAGCTCTCAAGGTTGATTAATCGTGAAAAGTGTTGATTATAGCGTTATATATTTAGATGTATAGCATCATATTTAGATCGTGGCTTGAAAAGTTGCTGTGGATGACTGCATGAATGCAGCGATCTCGTCATTGCAACTTGATTTCTGCACACTAACGAATCCTTTCATCATAACTAGTGCAAACACGATGTGAATAAGAGATTCGTTGATTATAAGGGGAGTTTTGGCGAGAGTCCAGAACAGAACTCACTGATAAACTCGCGCTGTTTGATTGACAACTCTAGCTATTGTAAATGGAGTGTTCTTTGATCGCTTTCTATGTATAATTTAATCACAGTTTGAATAACAGATTATTTTCATTCTACTTAGAGAAACAGTGTGAAGTTGACCGTTTAGTTACTGGTTTGATTTACTGACACATAGACAAAGAACATCTGACTGTACATGTATCATTACATATCAGACATCACTGGTCACAGATCAGGCAATAGAGTTAGAACGCATAAATACTCAGTGCATACCAAACGATCTGTAATTACAAACAAAGCAATAGTGACAATGTAATAAAAACTGTTACTCACACTTGTGTGGTGCGACATTACTGTCGGATCCACTATAGTCGGAACAGGCATCGTCTTTTAGTTTCAATCTTTCTGAAAATTCTGCGCGGAATTGTACCTTGAACAAAGGACCAAGTTCTTACTGAAATGGTCTGGAACTTCATTAAAAATAAAGTTCATCCACTCTTTCCTAATGTTGGGGTCAGAAGGAAGGCGATGCAAAGACTTGTGTTTTTCCACAACTTTATGTTATTTTATATTATTAAAGTAATGCGTCAACATCACTTAACACTTTCCATTTAAAATAATAACTGCATTTTTCTGCATTCATATGACAACAGTCCTGAATTTTAGGTGGTTTTGATCTGGAAAAAACGTGAAAAAACCCCAATGTGATATCAAAATAAATGCCTCACATTTCCAGACAGCCGTAGCCAGCAGCCTTCCTTGTATTGCTCCTCACCCAGTTCAACTCTTGTTTACACTCTAAAAGTGAAGTTATTTAAAGCTATAATATAAGTTGACTTGTGATGGGGAGCAGCTCCTGAGTGCTGCATGCCACGGGGGCAGCAGAGACCGATCGACTCAATGTAATGACCCCTAAATATGATGTCGCCTCACTTAAAGAACTCATTCTTCTACATTATTCACAACATGTCTGGAAGAATGGAGCTTTGGAGTGAGACGAGGTCTAGGATGAATTTTAGAGAATGGGGCAGTAATTCAATTGAATGATTGAATCTGTCTGGGGAAATCTTGGATATTACAAATATTGTTTCTGGAGGAGGTGCCTGTTTGCCAAGCCTGTCCCTGAAAAAGAATGAAAATTGAAAGTTTATTGTTAAGAGTTTATCCCAGCCATCTTGCTAGCGACAGCAATAGACTATTATTGGAAATGAAGAGCTGCGGAATATTGAATTATGAGTAATGATGCTTTTGGTGTAACTAGATTTGAAACAATTTTATGATAATCACTTATTGACATGTTGTGAAAATGTATAGTATATGCACCCGATTGAACCAGATTAGTTTTCAACATATTTTATATTTTGCAAATAAGATCTTGCATTGGGAAGTCCAAAGCACCATATGTCAGTGATGACTGGCTAAGATGAGTTTGTTGATATTTTATTTTGTTATCTGTTATTGTCATGCAGGGTTATAAAATTTAAACAAACTCCACAGATGGCACACGTGAATCTTTGTTGCTTCAGTTACTGTAGCTCATGTCTTTTAAAGGGGTCATGTCATATCAAATTTGCCTTGATCTGACATTTTCATTAATAAAAAAGCTTTTTCGACTATGAAAACGTAATTATCAGAAGTCAAAGCTCCCTCAAAATGAGAATTTATTGGAACTAATCTGCAAAAACAACTGCAACTTTGTGTAAAACTAAATATGACATAAAAATGTTACTAATATTATCATGTATGATCTGACCCCTTTAATTTTTCACACAGCTTGTGTTTTAAATGGCAAACATAAGTGATCTTTTCATATCTTCCTCCCTCAGTCTGTCTGTCCATCAGTTCCTCCTCTTCCTCTTCTCATCTGGCTGTCTGAGTCCGTCACTAATAACATGTCCTCCTCCCTACATGTCCCAGTGGTTTCATTTCGGTTTGAGAGAGGCCAGGGTCGCCTCTCCGTCCTTCCCCGCATTCATCAGCGTCACAGCCCTTATTGCTCTGTGCTGTACCACAACCCCACTTCCCCTTCCCCCTTTTTATGGCTGCCATCAGCTTAGTCATTTATTTCACCTTCTGTCCCTCTGCCCGGCTTGTATCACCAGCTGGACCCTATGGAGCACCACACTTAATGGTCTCCAGAGCCCAGAACTAGTGGTTTCCAAGGGATTCCTTAGGAAAGGCCAGCCATATATTTCTTCATTTATAGTTGAAGCACACCTAATTCGATCTGTCAAGTTATCATCAAGCCCTTCTTATACGTGATTCAGATGTTTCAGAGGTGGAATAGATTAAATGGGGGTTAGGGTGGGGTGGGGGGTGTCAATGGGGTCTCCAAAAACTTGGCTTGGATGCATGATGTTGCCAGCATCAGTATATGCATCCTCAGGTCTAGATGTTTGTGAATTGTCTTAAATGGAATTATTTATCTGAGCATCTGTGCACAGGTTTTACTTCATATTTGTGGTTATATAAGGTGTGTTGTAATTTGATCTGTTTTAAGGGATGATGTACAAGCTAGTCAATATTGCACAAATGAACCCCGACATGGTGGTCAGGATAGGGTTTATTTCGTGATAATTACTGGTTGCCTATACATTATCCTGGTTCAGGGTTACTAAATTTAACTAAAACTAAAACCATAAAAAACTTTTCCGTTACTTAAAATACAATAAATGTTAACTGAAATAACATATATTATCAAAAATGTCAGCTATTTTTCTCACCTCCATTTAGTTTTTAGTCAACTTAATTTAGTCAACTTAATATACTTAACTAAAACTTAAAAACTGAAATAAAATGTAATAAAAAACATCTCTGTTCGAAATCTGCAATTGCAGTTATTCGCGGAATTATCAACTTTACGTGGGTTGTGCCTCGGCACGGCACAGCGCGGATGAATTCAAGGTTTTGAGGAGAATGTGCGGCTGTGAGTCATCGCGCCGGTGTGGATACTGTCATTTGGAATCACAGATTCTACTTTTTGGTAGTACCGTATTTTCCGGACTATAAGTCGCTCTGGAGTATAAGTCGCGTCAGTCAAAAATGAAGAGGAAAAAAAACATATATAAGTCGCACTGGACTATAAGTCACATTTATTTAGAAATTTATTTCACAAAATCCAAGACCAAGAACAGACATTTAATCTGGAAGGCAAGTTATTCAACTTCACAATAGCACACAGAACAAGAGGTTGAATAGGTGTCCGGTATGTTAACGTAACACATTAACAGTTATTCAGCTACAC